ATAAAGTTGTCTCTCTACCAAGGTAACTCGTAGTGACTTCAACTGTGTCGAGATAGATACAAACCTGAAGAAGGCTGGGGTTTTAGCTCAACAGGAGAGCACTTTCCTAGTATGTGCAAGGCCTGGGTTTAATCTTAATCTTCAATTAGAGAGAGAGAGAGAGAGAGAGAGAGAGAGAGGATGGAAATAGAATCCCCCCCAACTACATACACATTGTAACTGTGTCTTGGTTACTCAGCTGAGTACCATCTCAGTGCACAAAACTAATTCTAGTATTTTACATTAATCTTTTAAAAACAATATGGCCCTAGACACAAGTTAACTACTCCATGTGGCCTTTGCATTGTGGAAAGGATGATGTGTCTGGTGCAAAAACAATTGTGTAGGCTGACTTATGTCCAATTTCATGGATGATCTTTACTGATGTTACTTTTTCTTTTTTCTTTTTTTATTTTTAAGGAGAATAAAATGCAACAATGCAAAATGGAATAAAGCCAATCAAAACAAAGCAGTGAAAGTGGTACATAACCTCAAAACAGGACAATAGGTCACCAACAATGGCTACCGTAATATATATTGCCAGCCTCACAATAGCTGTCCATTTCCTCAGACACAGTAAAATCGAATAAAACAAAACAGAATAAAATCATTCAAAACAGAGCATTGAATAAGATAACACAAGAAACTGGAACTAAACAAAACAGAATAATATAGGACAGAAGGAAATCCCCTATATTTGTCACATTGGGTACTGTTGTCCCCCCAATAGGTGCTCAGACTACCTGCCTTAGTCCTGCAAAGTCAATCAAACAACACAAGCATTTAGTTGTTTTTGTGCTTTGGTTGCTATCAACTCTGCTGATCCTTGGAAACAGCCAGTTGCTTATGGGGGGCGGGTGAGGAGGGTGGGTGGGCCTGGGGTTGTTGATTCTCAGCTCACAAGTGGGCTCCTGAGAAAGGCAGTCTCTCTTCCTGGGCCCCGCCTGGCTTGTGCAGCTTGCAGGAAGATCAAACCACCTTCTTGATGTGGTCTTCCAGACCCAGCATGGCCTCTGCTGGCTCACGGGCGTCTTCTTTCCTGGGCCCCACATGGTCTGTCTGGCTTGCGCAAAGACAATCTTCTCTCTTCTGATGTTACTTTCTCTTTATCCCATGTAAGGTACGACTTCATCAAAGACTAATTGTTAAAGTCCCCCCGCCCCCAATCTTGGACTCAGACCCAGGGCCTTCATACCATGCAATATCCCAACCTTTTTATTTTTACTTATTATGAGACAAGGGCAGAACTCACAGTCCTCTGTCCCAAGCTCCCACAGCACTGGGGTAATAGGTCCGTGCCTTGCCTTAGGTTAGTTACTAGACTGTGATGAGACTTTGTACCTGCTTTCTTGCTTGTGCACTTGGGATTGTGGTTTACCAAGAGGGTTGAAAATTGATTTGTCCCTACTCTTTTGTTCTAACCGCCTCATTGACTTCTCTAATCAATCCTCCTGTGTACCTTACCGTGGGGGTCAAGCATGAATGCCCATCAGAACCACCTGGATTTCCCACAGGTGCCCAGACCCAAAGCCCATGGTCTCTGACTCGGCATCTGAAGGAGGCACCTGAAATGTGCATTCGAACGAGTTCCAGAGGCTTGCTGGTGCTCTGACCCCAGACCCTCACTTTGAGAGTCCCTAGACTAGGATGTCCCTGACATAAGATTAGGCCCTTGTGCAATGGCTTTTGAACTCTCAAATCAGAATTGACAGTAAGATACACATTTCATGTCTATGCCTGGGCGACAGTGGATTTCTCCTCCCTTTCCGGCACACATGTTCTCTCATTCTTCTGCCTTGTCTTGCAGCATGAATGGGGCATAGGTTCTGGCCAGATGCAAGTGCTTGATCTTGGACTTCTCAGGCCCTTGATCTGGGACTTCTCAGTCCCTAAGGCCAGTGAGAAGTGGTATTTTCTTTATAAACCACTGGTCTGTGTGCTCTGTTACAGCAACACAAAAGGAACAGCACTGTATCTTCACAACGTTAAACCTTCACGTGTATAAACTGACCTTTCTATTGTCACCAACTCTATGATAATCCTCCTTCCCATGGCCTGTGCTCTGGGATATGTGGCACCTTAACCAAAGTCCCAGGTGTACTCACCTGTACCAGTGCCAGTGCTGGTCCAATCCACGCCTCCTTCTGATCCACAACTTCTTGGCCACATCTCTTGTCTTTAAACAAGGTCATTGTTTGCCCTGACTGTGAGTGAACTAGCTCCAGGCTTCCATGCAGGACAGGATCATCTGATTCTCCCTCACCTATGTCCTGCACTTGGCAGAGTGATGTGTATGGGGTGTGGGTCCCATAGGGGCCCTTGCATTGGTAAATGGGATCATCTCTTCTTTGCCCTGTTTAATGTACATACACCAAGGCCTGCAGATTTTAAAGAATACTCTGGTGCACAGCACTTTCCACTCTTGCCTCTGTGGCAAGATCAGGCTTGTGGGGAAGAAATGTCAGGCTTGAGACAAGCAGTCAAACATCTCAAAAGCAGTACAGTCTCTTCCCTTCCTAAACATTTCCTTCTGGTCCCAGCACAAGGATCTGGGCTAGAAAGATGTGAAGCATCACTGAATATACTTATGATATTTTTAAGGAAACGAAAAGGGCCAAAACTTGGGGGAATCAAAATGTACTTGCAATCTCTAAATCCAAGTCCAATTTTAAGAACTGCAATTTTCATACAGCCCTACCACACTGCCCTACTCCTCTTTGTTTGTTCACTGCTTCCTTCTTTTCTTTCCTTTTGCAAGGCCCCGATCCTGCACACGGTAAGCAAGCTCTCTACCATGGAGGTAGCTCTCTACATCCTCAGCCCTCTCCATGCCCTTTATTAAAGGAGGGCACAGACAAGATGATCTTAAATTCTTTCCCCTTTAATTTTGTTAAGCAGTGTGTGACTGGTAGAATTTAAGATAAACATGACATTATTGTACATATGTTCAACATACTACTTTTCTTAAATCCTTGGTGTCAGCTTTGGTATCACACAGTGTGGTGTCTCATACAGATTTTTCTGGGAAAATTTGAGCAAGTCATATACTTTAGTATGTCTGTTTTTTTCCTGTGTAAGAAAATAGGGATAAAAACAATAGTATCTCTGGGGCTAGTGTGTGCTCAAAGGTGGAACACTTGGGCGGCATTTATGAGAAGGTCCTCGTTCCACCCCCTTCATGTGGGGAGCAGTGGTGGTGGTAAGAGAGTATAAGTTTTGGGGTGGCAATGGAGGGGGTGGGGGATGGAGGGGTGGGAGCGGGGTCCCTCCTTTGTAGGTAGCAGAGTGCTGCCTGAGAGCCTACTGTGCGCACCTCCAGTTCTGTGTTCAGAGATGCTATGGGCAGTTTTAAGTCGACCAAGTATTTACACCACAGAAATTGGCAACTGCTGTCACTGCTCCTAAAGGGCCAGCTGGTAGGCACTGCCCACAACAATGCTCCTTATGTACATGAGTGTTGTAAAGGTTACATCCGGTGATAAATGCAAGGGCTTCTGCATCTTTCTTAGCACATAATATTTATATATTCAAACAGAGCTGTTTATATGACCCTTTCTCAGAGACTGTTTTAAACCATCACTCTATTTTGGAAGTGTATTTTTACGGGGATAGGGTATTTTAAGTTCTTCCAGCATCTTATTTTTCTGGAATTCTTTCCTCTTCCAGAAAACTGTTTTTCTGTTGTTATCCTGCCCTGCCCCCACCACGACTCCTTGGCCCCTAAATGCCTTCCATTTATAATGAAAGGTCTCGCTTGGTTATTGGCAAGGATTGCTTTCCATTTAGAAGCCTGGAAATTAGCCAGCATTTGTAGCAATAGGGAGGATGGCTGACGTGAAAAAATCGAAGCCGTGGGCCGGGTTATGTGGAGATTCCTGAATTCCCCACAGCTTTTCCTTTCGTTATTAATCTCACACGAAGGCTGACTCTCACTGAAATGAATGTCATGCATCAAGTTTTACTTTAAAGTTGTTTTTCTTTTTGTTTTTTTGAGACAGTTTCACTGCAGTTCAGGTTGAACTTGAACTCACTTTGTAACCCTGGCTGGCCTTGAACACACAGCACTCCTCCTGCCTCAACTTCCCTAGTGCTGGAATTACAGGTGTGCACCACCACGCCCGGCCTGATTTTTAAAGTTTGTAATAGTGCTTAGTACAGAGTGTATACTCAATAAATATTTGATGACTGAATAACAGGCCATTTGGCCTCAGATAGTACATGCTGCTTTTTCCTACCTCACAGCCTAGAGCATTGTGGCAGAGCAGGTAGATACTGTGCTTTGTTAGAATCTCAGTTGCTAATGACTGTGTTCCGTGCCTGCGGTGTTCATCTGGGGACACTCTCATGGGGCGTATGGGTAGGATGGCTCCAGATGTCTCAGATACTTCAGGTTAAAAACAAATTATAGGTAGTAAAAGGACTTTTTCATTTTTGCTTTTGTAGGACGTAAAGAATGATTTATGGGATAATTTTAGAAAGGGGAATCGGAGGAAAGTGACACAGTTCAAACAGAAGCTGATGCAATGTGAAAGAAGCTGTGCCATCAAGGAGAGCTCAGCGAGTGAGAAACCTTTATATATTTGGGGTGTACGAGAGCAAGGAGGATTCATCTGTTCCTTGATCACTGTGAAGACTGCATCTGCGGCAATCTTTGGAAAACCCTGTACCCTACTCTTATTTATCTGGGCTGGATTTGCTGTTTCGAAGGTCACGAAAACATTGCCCAAGGAATGTGCTCAGATCAAACTGCAAAGGGCAGTTCTGAGAGTGGAAATGACACAATTCTGATATTGCAATAATTTTAAGCAATGTTGCAGTGAGATTACCCTGTGATACTCCCCTAGAAGAGCATTAGGAGATGGGTTGACAGAACATTACATTATTTGCTGCAAAGAAAAACACAAACACATTTGTTTTTGCCTCTGAAAATGTCTCAACTGTATTTTGTTTTGGAGAGCAGCTTACATTAGTTCTTGAATCTTTGCTTCCAATTTTTTAGGATCAGCTCCACAAAATTCATAAATCTGTTTCAGACACACAAAGGTAAAAGTATTTATTGAGTCAAGTATTGTGCAGGTATTGAGGCACTGAGGGGCTTTATTCTTGATTGTAAAATTAATTCTCCTCATCTTCATAGTCTCACTTTAAATATAAATACAAATTAAATGTACTAAATTCATCATGTGAAATACTTGTCTTCTTTCCAAAATTGCTTATGCTGATATTTTGGCAGGTCTTTGTAAAATTCCAAGATACTACTCTAGTCTAAAACCTAAAATGTACAGTAGTGCTGGAAATGAAACCTAGTTATTGAAACTTCTCAGAGCTTTTATAGATGGTATTGAGGGCTTTTTAATTCATATACACAATCTTCTGGAATTGAATTGCTTGTAACATCACATTCCCTGACTTCTGCCCTAGTAAGAGTTGTAAAATGGATTCTAAGAAATATCTTTTTTTCTTCAAATTTTTACACCACTGAATCAAGCTGCATTTTATAGTAGGGGGGAAGCACTTTACAGTACTATGTGAAATTGTGGTGCATCTTTAAATAAGCCTCTTACATTCATTGGAATATGAATACCAAGCCCCTTACTACTCATTGTCCCGTTAGTGCTGAATGCAGTGGGTGACTGGAGAGAAGGCAGTGTGTGGGTAAACTGAGGCTGAAGTTGGGTGAAGAGTTGAAGGCAGTCAGGAATGGTATTACTGCTGTCAAGCAGGAGTTAGAAAGGTCTAGAGCAAACATCCCTGCGTTGCAGAGAAGCAACAATCCCCACATCTAGTGATTCTGCTTCTGCCTGTGTCCTGTTATTCCATTTATTCCTTGACTGTAAAACCCCAAGCTTGGACTCCATCTTGACCCCATTTCACTTACCAGCTTGACCTCGAATCCACTTCTATAACAGCAAATTGCTCTTTTAAATCTTGAGAATAGAGTTACCTATGTGTGAGTGCAGAATTTTATGATTGATCTGGGTTGCCTGGTTTTAACCACTGCTCTATAAATAACTCTAGTGGCTTTGGCCTAGGGCAGAAAATGCCAGAGAGGATCTGAAAACATTCTTTTTCCTAATCATGAGATGACAGCTGCTCTTAGGCGGGAAGGGAATGTCATAACACGGTTTTTAGAGGAACTTCCTCCGCCTAACCTTGTTTTGTGCCTTCTCTTTAGGGATCCTCCCAGGTTTCCATCCTCTGCTTTTCTGTGGCAAGAACAGCGTGACATAAGAGGAGGTAGAGGTGAAAACCACCTGAGCAGGAGAGGGGCACTAGCAAGGAAAGGGTAAGAGGCCACATCTGTTCCCATGATCACCACTGCGTGATTCTAGATCGCAGCCTACATTCCAAGGGGTCTGTAAGAAGGTATTTTGTGATCCTTATGCCAATAACCTTTACCAATCTCATTACATATTCTTATCTTAGCCTCTTTCCTACTGCAAAGTGCCCTGTGAAGTCAGAGAGGGTGTGTGTGTGGGGTCTCTGAAAATGTTCTTCTCTTCTTCTTGGAGGAAACAGCTTCTCAAGGTAGAATGTGTTTAAAATGGAAGGGAATACCTTTGGGAGGGCTCCGGGGAGGGGCATTTCTATGGCTCTGAGGCTATGACCTGGCTGTGCTCAGCCATCTGGATAACCATCGAGGGCAACCAGAAGCTGTGAGGGTGTTAAGAAGCTTGGTTACAGTGGGGTGTGGCCCTTCTGTCTCCTAGATACAGCCAGTATATTTCAGGGCACTGTCTACTGAACAAGGGGACTAAAGCCATGTCAAATAAATGCATCCAGATTCAGAAAACTACATGAATTCTAAGTTAACAATTTGGAGAATTATTTCAAAGAAAGTACACTATGTAATCATGTCTAGATCAAGATATACTTAGAGAACTCTTCCTCCTCCCCATCCCCTTTACCTGTGCCCAAAGGCAAACTATTATTAATTCTTCACATAAATTGGCTTTGCCTGTTCATGAACTTTTACAAATAAAATCCTATAGTATGAATGTTTACATGCCTGGTATCTTTCACTTAGCATTACATTCATAGATTCATCTGTGGAGCAGCAATACATATATTTTTCAGTATTTCATCGCATGGATATAATCCAATTTAGCAACTTTGGCTATGACAAACAGTGTGCTGGGAACATTCTGGTCACTGTGGAGTTGCCTTTATTTGTTGATTTAATAAATGCAGCACGAGAGTCCCTTATCTGAAATAAGATAAAGCAGTCCTAATTCTTCCTACAAGGGACATATTTTGGAATATTTGCATACTCAAATCAGTATCTTGGCAGTAGGACCCAAGTCTAAGCATGAAATTTATTTATGTTTCATACACACCTTACATACATGGCCTTAAGGTGATTTTGTTTAGTAACTTGTAATTAAAACAGTGCATCATGTTGAACCAGCAGACTTGTGGTATCGTGTTGACACTCAAAAGTTTCGGATTCTGGAGCATCTCAGGTTTGGGATCTCTGATTAGAGATACTCAACCTGTGCTTTTTTTAAAAAAAGCTCTGTATTTAGTGAGTGACTATTTTGAGCTGCAGTTATTGTGAGCAAAACTGTCAAAAATTCTCAGGTGTTCATATGCCAGTGATAATTTTATATGATTGTATTATTATTTCAATAATTCTGGACACACACTCATGCTATTTTATGGCTCTCTGCTTCTTATCTCTTTTCACTTAACAATCTTTCCCATGCTGCATGACGATTTGGTTTTAACTCATGAAATCTTCCTTGAACCATTTATTTGTGATTCTATAGAATGCTGTATATTCTACCATTAATTCATTTTTAAAATTTTCTTGTTATTAGTACATGTTTGCAGTGCACAGTAATTACATTCATCACAAGAAGTTGATACATGTACCCAACACATATTTACTCCTTTTATGTCCCCTCTTGCAACAATCTATTTTGTTATCAGTCTGCCTTGTTAGACTAGGGATAGAGACTGTGCCTAATTTTTCTCCCATGTGTTTAGTGTCTAGTTTAAAACCTTATACAGAGTAGGTGCTCTGTTAATGGATTAGGTGTGAGTTGTGGCATATTAATTTCTCAACACTGAAGTATGAGTTCGAGACTGGGTAGTATTAAATTTCAGGAATTAGGTATTGCTCGTCTGATTTTTTGTCTAGTTTACCAAAGCCAAATGTTATATTTGTGCCTTCCTATTTAGCACAAGGCTTTCCATACATGGGAGCTTAATAAACGAAGTTAATGCATGAAGAAAAACTACTCATAAAAGCATATTTCACAAATTGACTTTTTTTGAAGAAACAGATTTATCCCTAGACATCTGAGGGGGTTGGCTCCAGGAGCTTCCATGGTTAACAACATACTGTACACTGATATTGAAGTCCCTTAGATAAAATGGGTTGATATTTGCATATAATCTATGCAAATTTGTTTGTTTCATATACACCTTAATCTGTAATCTATGCAAATACCCTTGTATACTTTAAATCATCTCTATTTACTGATTATATCTAATGCAAAATAAGTTAAAAAACAGAAAATGTAAGGCAAAAAACAGAAGCAAAGCTTTTTAAATAAGGAGAGGAAAAGAAGGGCATGGTGGTGCTAAGGAGGCTGAGGCAGGAGGACTGCCATGATTTAGAGGCTGGCCTGAACAACAAAGTGAGACCCTGTTTCAAAACCAAAAACAAAAATAGACCAATATTTTTTTGGGCCACTGAAACAGGACACTTGCCTTGAGTTTGAGGCCAGTCTGGGCTACTTAGCAAGATCCTGCCTCAATAAATAAATAAATAATAAAAAACTAAAAAGAAGTAGGGGGAGAAGGGTTGAAAGGAAGGGGGGGGGGAATTAGAGAAAAAAAGAAGAATGAAGATATATTAGGTACAGGTACAAATTTCTTATGATATGTGTGATTGTTACACATATTTAAAGTGTATCAATAAAATTAACTTTAAAAAGTAAATGCTACATACATAATTATGCAGTATATTGGTTAGGGAATAATGACAAGGGAAAAATTTTACATATTCAACAAAAATGAAATATTTTGACTGTCGTTGGTCAAATCCAGATACGAGGGCCAGTCATGCAGCAGCACAGCTTGAGTATATACCCTGCCTCTGGTGTTTTCTTGCTTAACCTGAGACTCCGGTGAACCTGAGCCGCAGGGCCCACTAGGGAGCATCAAGGGGGAGATCTGAATTTTCCCATCTGTATGCCTTCATCTTTTATGCACTGGTGCCACCCTAGCAATGACTATGAATGAAAATTATAAGCTCCAGTCCCAACATGATACTAATGACAGGGGGGAGGATGTTCATGAATAAAAAACCGGCCAAACCTGATAATCAGGCTTTACTTTTTAAAAGCCTTTTAAAATTTTTTCCTTTTGTTTACAAAAAAACCTTTTAATGTGGACATTTTCAAATACATGAAAAAATAGATAAAATCGCTTACTCCCATTTACCCATCATTCAGGTTCAACAAAAGGCAAGGGTTTTTTTTTTTTGTTTTTGTTTTTGTATGCCAAAGACATTCAGTAACCTACAAAAAATCTGTTACTGTTCCTGGCAAAGGAAACAGGACTGGAGACCGCGGTCCCCTCCCAACAAATGTACTTTTGAATGTAAAAATTAGACTTCAGAGTTTGACTAATGATGCACACTTAGAATAATTGTAATAAAATACATTGGTCAGTCGATATGCAGTTTTGGCTGAGTAAACACTGTATGGCCCGAACTGAGTGTATCAGTGAGTGTATCACTTAGCTACCAGCAACAGCATACCCTGAAGCATCAGTGTCAGTGACAATATTAAAGCAACACAAAAGCACTAACCAGCCTGTGACATTTTGGGGATGTTTGCACAAATGTTTGTACATGCAGTACACTTTCATAATTCAGGATTTTCTTTCTTTCTAAAGAAGAGTTTACTGAGGCATAAGATGGTTTGGAGAAACTGGAAATGGGAGCTTTAATAAGAGGTTTTAAAAGGACTTTCTCCTTCTACAGAGAGCTGAGCAATCGTAATTAGTTATT